GGCGGCAATGCAAGGGCATCAAGCAAGGTGCAGTCTCTGCAGCGATCGGACGGCAATGAGGGCAGAGATAAAGCCCTGGGATATCTCAGCCTTGGGGTTTTTCTCCCCTCTCCTGCTCAGCTTGCCCATTGGGAAGGACGGGTTAGGAAGAGGGAGGAAATGAGAGGGAGGGTCTCAGGCAACTCTCGTCCCCTCTAGGGTCTCCGTCCCCTCTAGGGTCTCCGTCTTTAAGCCAAGGGGAAGTAAAGTGAGGCCCACTGATGTTCATTCCAGATGCTCAAAGGTGCTCTCACCCATCCCTGCTTGAACTCAAGGGGATTCGCTTCGGAGTAGACACGTTCTGCTCCTGTTCTGAGAGCAGATAAAAACACCTCTTTTATGGAGAGGCAGAAGGAAGCCTCATGAAGCCTGCAGGATGTGGAAAGTAAGCTCACCCTCCCATCAGGGCAACAAGGAAAGGGAAGGAAGGAGAAAAGCAGCTTCTGCCCACTCATTCCATGAGCTTACATGATACACTTCTAACCATGATCCCCACCTCCTCATCCAGTGCTCTCCAGATATTTTAGACTGTGCAAATAGACAAGGACATTGACTGGGGCTTATGGATCTTTGAGTCCAAAGCATGCTAGAGGGAACCACACTGATGGTCTTCTGACTGCTGATCTTCCATTGGTCACTGTATCTTTATGAAGCTATCATGTGTTGAGCATTAGACCTTCTGTGTGCAAAACCAGAACTCTGCCTTTTAGTCATGGAACCTCCCATGAGAGACACATTGTATGAAGTTGTCACTAGCTCCTCCTCTTCCATGCTGTGACCCCACCCCTGGCCAAAGGCTGAATCCACCGTTCTTTTGAAGCTAATCCCACAATGCATTTGTCCTGGTATAAATTGTATTTTTGTTGTTGAGAGGGTGAGATGACCTTATTTCCCCATATAGTTCCCATAGCTTTCTCTTAGCTATAAATTGCTCTGTGCGGTCAAATCTTAGGAAGATTTAATGAGGCAAGACAATTAAGCAGTCAGGCAATATGTTGTGCAATTCAAAGTCCATTTCATGGACCAAAGCTCTACTAATCATATAATAGTATGGTCTCAAGAGCTGGAAGAGCTGGAAGGAGTAAAGTTAGTCTTGCCAATATGGTAGATTTCTACATGCGCAATACCTTCACAATGGCATGCCTCCTTCTATTTCCACCTTCTTGCCTTCTAGATTTATTGGCACTATAATTCCCAAATTCCCAGCCATTTTATGGAGTGATATGATAAATCCCTCTGCAAAATCCACATTCTGATCCACATCCTGTAATCACATGATTTGAAAATATGGTAGCTTCTGGTAGTGTATCACAAGTCATGCTAATAGCCTTTCTGGCATTCTGCACATATAATCCAATTCAATGTATGAGTCTCTCCAAGAAACCTGATTGAAAATTTTACCATCCTTTCTACTTAATTACAGATTTTTCAGTTCTTAAAATTTCCATCTTCATACTGCATTAAATATCTGCTCCTCAATTTTAAAGCTTCTCTTCCTCCTTCTCCTGACAACAATAAGCAATTATGGTTTCATGGAGGTTGGTTTTCAGTGGATGAAGATCTATATCCACCTTCCTGGATGGATAAATCAGAGAAGGTTTTGTAGAATTAACCTGAATTTCATTAAAAGCTATAACAAATAGCTTTGCAATCTCGGAATCTGTTTTAGTATCAGAAATGTTGGAAACTCTAATACATTCTATGAGAATCCTCTGTTCTTGTGCAAAAGCTCTTTTTTTCCCCTTCACAGGACCATAAATAGTCCTAGCACATGAAAGATCAGGACTTCCAAGGGAGAAGATATAGTTTCTCAAGGAGCTTGAATCTTACTTCTCTTTGTTACATTTTGGGTTTACATATTGTGCTAAGTCATGGCTTGTTTAGCTGTGATTTATGAAACAGTTGACAATCAGATTCCCACATTGCCTTAAGCCACAAATCAAAATCTGAAAATTGCGAAGACTGGTTTGCAGAACATGCTAGGCCAAAACCAAGCAATGTTCATGATGGGTAGCTCTTTGCTATATATGTGGTTTCTAGAACAATGACTTGAAAAATCAAATCATTCTTTGATTCTCCTTTAAACTAACATATGATGCCTTTTGGTGGTGCTCTTCATCTTCCAAATTGAATCACCGTTCTCCCAAATGAAATGTCTCACTATTGTTAGTCTTTGCTTATGTCCAGTTCTATTTCTCCAGCCCACAGTGAATATTTCTAAGCACTGATTCCCTCATCCAGAATCAGCTACTAATTCCATTTCCTTCTTCCCTTAATTAAATGCATCTCTATACTACAGTCAACAGCAGGCTGTTAATCCTAGCCATTACCCTTTCCAGCAACAATGCATTTAAAATATATCACCTGTCAAAATATCAACCCCAATGTGCTGGGCTTCCTTAATCCTGCCTTCATCCTTTTACAGAAAGAAATGGATCCAATTGCATCTGGACACTCATTCTGTGCTTCTGCTCGCTAGGCTAAACCCAGTGCTCCTTTCTCCTCATCAAAGCACAAACACAGTTTCCACATTTAATCCCCTGCAAAGCTCACAAAAATCTCAGCCAGCCAACCCCCACACAACAATTCTTCTTTTTCTCCTCCACAAAAAGAAAAAAGAAAAGGGAAAAAAAAGAGAGAGAGAGAGAAAGAGAGGAAAGAAAGAAAGAAAGAGAAAAAGAAAGAAAGAAAGAAAGAAAGAAAGAAAGAAAGAAAG